CTACGAGACTAGAAATTAATCAGTCTCCTAAATGGACGGGTTATTGGGACTTTTAATGAAGTCTGGAATTGAAATCTAATAATGTATAATTTTTTTTTTTTTTGAGGGGGGGTAGGGGGGCGAATGGGAGAGCCGGTGGGGGTGGGGGGAGGGGGGAGGGGCGGGGCAAACACATTTGATACAGTTTGGTAGGAATTTTTCTTCTGTCAAAATGGGATTATTCATAAAGCGAGGAAAAAAAGTAAAATAAATGAATAAACAAATGGATAGTTAACGATAAAAAAAAAATAATAATAGTGAATTATAAGAGAATGTAGATGTTACCACACATTACCACACAAACGAAAGGTAGACACAAGCATACACACGTTCGAACAGTTTTCATTCTTCCCCTCCTTCTGCTCCTCCCCTGTTCTTCTCTTCCCTTCCTTCTGCCTCTCCCCTCTCCTTCTCTTCCCTTCCTTCTGCCTCTCCCCTATCCTCCTTTTCCCTTCCTTCTGCCTCTCCCCTCTCGTCGTTTTCCTCTCCCTCTGCCCCTCCCCTCTCATTCGTATCGCCTCCTTCTGCCCCTCCCCTTTCCTCCTTTTCCTTTCCCTCTGCCCCTCCCATCTCCTTCGCTTCCCCTCCCTCTACTCCCCCTCTCTCCCTTGAAACTCCTCCCTACCTTGTCCTCTCTGTCCCATGTCGCCCTCAAAATCCTCCCTTCCTCTCCCTCTCTCCTTCCTCCTTCCTTATATGTATATGTGTGTGTGTGTGTGTGTGTGAATATATATATATATATATATATATATATATATATATATATATATATATATATATATATATATATATATATACATGTATATACATATGTATATATATATATATATATATATATATATATATATATATATATATATATATATATATATATATATATATATATATAAGTATGTATGTATGTATGTATGTATTCCATATATATGAATCGTCCTTCTTGGTCTCCTTTGCCCTATGTCTACTTTACTCTTCCCTCCTCCTCCCTCCTCCCCCCACCGACCTTACCTCCCCCTCCCCCCCTCCCCCTCCCCCTCCCCCTCCCCCTCCCCCTCCCCCTCCCCCTCCCCCTCCCCTCCCCCTCCCTCCTTCCCAACACCTCGACGAACGACCATCGAGATATTCTTACGCTGTCGAGCAGATGTTGCTGTCTTTATTGGCGTTCTGTTTAATATTCATGGCAGTGCCTTACTGCCCCCCCCACCCCCCGCTTCCTACTCCTTCCTCTTCCTTTCCTCATCCCTCGACTCCCCCCCCCCCCTCTCTTCTCAATTTACCCCTCTCTACCCATCTCCTTTGCCCTGTACGCCGTCTCTCCCTATCTCCCTTCCTTCCTCCTCGTCCCTCCCTCTTCCCTCTTCCTTCCTCCTCCCTCTTCCTTCCTCCCCCTTCCTTCTATCCCCCTCCTTCCGTCCTCCTCCTCTTCCTTCCTCCTCCCCCTTCACTCCTCCTCCTCCTTCCCTCCTCCCCCTTCCTTCCGTCTGTCTCCCTCTTTCTCCACCCTTTCCCTATTCTATCCCCCTCTCCCTCTCCCTCTCCTTCCCCCCTCCCCTCTCTCCCTATCTTTCATAGTCCTTGAAGACCTCAAACTTCTTCCCATCCCCCCTCCCCCCCCTCATGCTCCCTCCTTCTGCCTTCTCCCCCTCCCCTCCCTATCCCCTTTGCCCTTCCCTCTTCTCCCCCCTCCCTCCCCTAGCTACTTTACCCTCCCTCCTGCCCTTTCTCCTTCTCCGCCCCCCCTTTCCCCATTCTCCTCCCAGTCTCTCCCCCCCCATGTGTCTCCCCCTGGGTCCCCTCCCCTCCCCCCTTTCGCCCTTGTACAGTGCCTGAGGGTTTTTATATTGAAATGTGGGAGTTTTGGACGAAAAGATTTGTGGCCAGGGAAGGGAGGGCGTCGTGTCTGTGTCTGTGTGTGTGTGGTTATTTGTGCTTCTGTGTGTGTGTGTGTGTGGATGGGTGGATGTGGGTGTTTGTGTGTGTGTGAGAGAGAGAGAGAGAGAGAGAGAGAGAGAGTGGGTGTGTGTTTGAGTGTGTGGGTATGGATGTGTGTGTGTGTGTGAGAGAGAGAGAGAGAGAGGGAGAGAGAGAGAGAGAGAGAGACAGAGACAGAGATAGAGACAGAGAGAGAGAGAGAGACAGAGAAAAGGTGTGTACGTGTATGTCCACGTATCCGTTTGAGTATGTGCGTGTGAGTGTGTGTATGTGCGCGCGTTTTTGAGAGTGTGGGTGCATTTCATGACATTTCATCCATTGCAGAAAACACCTGTTTTTTTTCGCTTGTTGACATTAACTCACATGAATAATATATATATTTTTTTAATCTCTTCTGTGTCTCTACTTTTCATGGTATATTTATCGTATTACGTTTTTTGTATATAAATGGGATAACCTCCCTCCCCCCTCCCCGAAAGCGAGCCAGCTTCGGTTGTAATGGTTTTAGCAATAATTAATTCTATTTGCCATAATGATATCATTAACTGGAAATTTACCCCCAGTAATTGAATTATTTTTTGATGTTGCA